AAGCAGTAAAGAAAGTCCTCAAAGTACTGGAACAGATACAAAAACGTCCAGCCTGCAACACCCGATAATAATGACAATGGCTTTAGAAGTTTCGAACATCTCAAGCTCGTTCATGTCGTCGAATTCCTCTAGATCCTCTCCCTTCCCTCAAATTCGTCTTCATGTGCACGGCCCACGTCGACTGACTACGACGACTTGGTCAAATTCTACTCGGAACATCCATTCTGTCTGGGAAGAGAGCCCTGCGGCGCAGATTGTGTTCGATGCCGCACAGAAAGCTATGACTTTCGTCCTGACTCGTCATCTTTAGGTAAACTCATTCTCTGCAGGTTAGATTTGGTGACCTGAATGCTGATTGCAATCACAGATATGCTACGCATCAGTCCTAAAGCATCATTGGAGATAATTCAAGCGGTCGAGGCAAAGCTACATGAGCCAGATGGGGACTCAAGAGCAAAGATTGACGCATTCATGCGAGGCCAACTCCAAGAAGCCCATAGGCTCCAGGGACTTAATCCTGCACGCCCAAATTTTGTACCACACGACACTACGGAACCTGGAGGCTTGTTCCGTAAACTGGAAAGTGTACCGATAATTCTGGGTCTTGTTGGTATGTACGGATGCACATCTGTACTAATCATGTCGAAACACGCAGTATGGTGGTCTCATTTCTGGGAAGCCCCTTGGTTCGTAACGAACGATGCAGGAACCATACGAAACACATTTTTGGACCGCTCGATAGTGATGGACAAAAACCATCTCGGTCAAGATATACCACGCCCTTTTTCGGCCAACGTTCTAGGCTTGCTCAATAGCAACGAAGAATTGTCAAGACAATTTCCCCGGATTGCTATGCGAAATCGAAGCTGGAAAGTCGTTTGCTACAGGCACAAGAACCCGTGCTTTCATCATTACGCCACGTGACAGCAAAAGCAACATACTTTACAACCTGCACGTTAGAGGCGATACAAGGGGAATTGGAGATGGTGTTGCCCGGTCTCATGCCTGAAGATCTTCAGGTTATTACATACTTACCTTCGGGCAGTGACACTGATCTCCCAGAGGATGGAGGCAACCCAAAAGAATACCAGAGCATGTACGGTAAGTTTATGGTACAATACGATCCTCAAGATACAGCCGCAACATCGCGAGCAGGGAAAGCTGCCATAGAACTGTGGGCCGAGTACGGCACTGAACCCAAGGCCCGACTGCAATGGCCGACACTCCCAGGCCAGTACAATCCAGTAGGACCATTACCAGTGCCCCTGGGCCCAGGTACCTTCTCAAACATACAGGCTTCGTCTTTGGTATCAGTCATCTTGAGATCCAGCTCTCGTTCTACCTCGACTATGATTACATCTGCCAGTTTTGCAGGCCTGCGGCCGGGCTTCAATGGAGTACCAGGTTGCGCATATGTGATGGCGCCGGAATCAGGCCAACGCTGTGTCGAAGACTACTGCAACTGTGGAGGTACAGTCGCACCCTTGATCACAGCAAGAGTCGATGATCAAGTCTCGCTCCATTGCGGATACTCCACTCAGCCCAGCTGGAACCGATGTCCAGGCGATCCAACCGCGTCGCCAACACCGGACCCCCACTCCTTACGCCATCTTCCGAGACCTGGCATTACGGCACAAGGAGTTTGTTCGCATGCATATTCCAAGAAGGACCAAATGAGGATTTTTTATCTTGCTCAATGTCAACATCTTTGATGCCAACAAACGTCCAACAATACACAGAGAAATTTGAATGTGTTTCTACAAAAGGAAACGGCGGTCATAGAGTATCAAGCCACACCGGTTCGGATACGACATCGGAACTTACCGCCTACTCTGTACTTAGATGGAACCAAAAGGAGCTACCAGACTCAGCAGTTTTGCAAATCCAAGATGGGGGCCGTCGCAAAAGGTAGGTTATGATATGAGGGATGTGACGAAAGTACCCGCATTGTAATGTTGGGCAATGGGGTGGGCTCAACTTGTGGGACCAAATCTGGGGGAAATGGTACAAATCGGTGAGACTGTCCCATTGTGTTGAGACTCATATGCTAATATGTATGAATAGAAACGGCAGCCAGACTGCTTTTGGCCCTGTTAGGATGATGCGTGCCTTGTTGCAGTTGTCGATCTGGAGACACTCATTGTAATTGAAATTTACACATTTCCAATTAAGCGGAATTTTTCAGTGAGCCCTGCTCCTGTCCAGATGCGATGGTGAAGAAGCGATGCACACCTCCCTCCACTAGTTTCGAACGTAACAGTTGATCGGATTTATTATATTATCGTTTGCAAAAGATGTGCACCCCCCCCCCCCCCCCCCTCAGCCTGACTAAATAGAGCGTAGAGACACCTCCGTATACTCCTATTAGCTTAGATTCCTTCATGATAGTCTAAGAGGGTCTAGATAGCCGTTAACAGGTGTCACTTTTAGAGCGAACCAGATAATTCTAACCTCTAAAATTGCTGCCTGCAATGTGATATCATCAAGTATAGCACCGCTCTCTCTATTACATCATCATTCGTCATAGACTTCTCCTATTATAGGAGTCCTAGGGGGGTGCACATCTTTTGCAAGGCACCGATAATAGATCTTCAAGTAGAATGAGAAAGACGGGGTTTGCAAATGTATTGTTGGATTCAGTCGAGTGTGTTTACAGAGATTGAACGAATCCAGCGAATAGACTCTTCAATGCCGATTGCTAGAGTGTTTGTCAGAAGTTGAGTATGAAAGGGGTTGCTATTGGACTGCCGACACTAATAGCTTTGGTGAACTTAAATTATCTTCAAAAACAATGACAGTGTGAATACAGAAGTGACATATTTGTGATAAGCTGGAGAATTCCGGCGTTGGGTGCATCAAAGCCCGGTAAATTGTGCAAGGCTATGGTCGGTCAAAGAAACTTCGTTCCCGCCTTAGGTCTGGTCACACTCTTAGAGGAAATAGAGCAATGCAGCTCTCCATCATACATGCTTTCCTCCACAACACCCCATTGTACGGGCTTTAAATATGCTTCAGCGTCAATCAATGTCGTGTGACAAGCCGCACTAATGACCAAACTACAACTGGCTGCAAAGGGTATTCTGACCTTGATCTTCTTGCGTCCCATTCGGCCCAACGATGCCAACTAAAAGAAAGAAGCAAATCGTTAGTGCCGTAAAGCTTGTTGGAGCGAAGCCACAGGCTGATTTCGAGCTTTCCCCTTCGACGAGTTTCCCTTTACGATCGTAAGTTTCGATGCGCACAAGGAATATCGACTGTGAAAGTAGCCAATGAAGCCCGCCACTGATTATCGTCAAAGGCAAGGACCAGCGATATGGTAGTTGTAAGAAGTACGTATCACGCTGTTGTCCGACCGGTCTAGTTACGCGTAGACCTTTGCGCGACGATGCAAAGCTATTCCACTCGGCAGCGCCTGCCATAGCTGTGCATTCGCTATTGATGGCAAGATAACAACATGAGAGAATGAGTTGAGCCGCATTAGCCAACCATGCGTTCAGGAGTGTGTCATGAAGAGATGGGCTCGCTTCACGGAACGTGGTATCGGACGCTGTGCCCCAAGCAGTGCTAGCTTTACCAAGATACACGAGGCTAGTCAATAAACAAACGAAGAGGATTCCAATAACGATGAAACTGTTTTTGAATTAGCGTTATGCCCAGATAGAGCATGACAATGAACCCACATGAAGTAAGAGCCGATCTCCCTATCTCTGTTCAAGGCATTTGAGTAAGTGCTAGACTGCTTAGTCCACGTCTGCTTGGATTGGGGTTACAAGACGTGACAGCTGGTCATTGTGTCTCTCTCCAGAAGGCCGAGCTCTTAATTTCGCGAACAAGTTCTGGGCTTTGACAGGACACATAATCGCTCAGTACTCGGATCCGGGGTCTCAAGGAAGGAAGCTGCACCATCACCCAAGGTGACTATGTAATCTTTCCTCTCAACGGATACAATCCAAAGCATCGTGCTAAGTTTGGTAACGTTACAAACGATGACAATGATCATGAAAGTGAGGCTCAGCTGGATTCGGCTAGCAGTGTTCACACGTGTTGCAAAAGCACGAGTGACGTGTGCATACGCGGGGTAGATCGCCGCGAGGACCAGTTACTTGCTCTTCCTTTTTTAAATTGATCCATCTTCTAGAGCTGGCATCAAGGTCAAAGAGTGTCTGTACCCGAATCGAAAACAGAAGCGGCTCTGTCATGTTCCAGGTTACATTGCCTGTGTCCCAGTCGGTTGCGGTTGTCGTGGTAACATTTGGCCACTTTTCGGGGTATCCAGTGAGCGTAATTCTCTCGATTTCTGAGCGATATTCATCAACAACAAGTACGAGTGTTCCGAAGCTTACAAGCGAGTTGTCGTATGCTCGGACCCACCCAGTATCTGATATTTCTTCAAAGTCGGAACCGTCAATTGACCTCCGCAAAACACTGTGGTAGGCTTCAGAGTCGACTTGGACGACCTGTATGTCGTATTGATTGTTGGCACCAATGTAAAACACTGCTGAGTTATAGCTTCAGTTCATCAGTTTGTAGCTGCAGTAGCTCGATAGGCTTACTCACAAGAGATGTATCGGAATTGAAGATAGCGCCATGATGATGAAGAGAAATAGCCGCCTCTTGGGGATACGTGCTAGATTGCGCATACTCAAGACGCCAATGTCGAGATGCTCGCTCTTTGCATGTGCCTTGTCAATGTCGTTCCGGGTAGGAGAGCTAAGCACTTGCATCGTGTAGTTGCTCGCAGATAAGAGCATAGTACTCATGGCGTTGATCGCGATGTGGAATGCACTACTCCACCAAGATATGTCTTCAGCAGTCCCTGTCATCGAAACTGCGATACCATCTTCGAAACCACGCCCACGTTTTGACAAGGTTACAAGGACCAAAATGTTCACGAGTAGTACGACAGAAGACATACAGCATCCGAGGATCATGCCCATTCGCCATCCGTGGAAGCGCGTTTTTGCCACGGAACGGGTAGCGGCTCGACTAAGGCATGCACACAACCATAGTACATGTCGTATTCCTGGCAAGGAATGGGAAGCATGAATCCAGCTTCCAATGAGGTCGACCAATCGCACTAGGCGAGTTTGTTTCTCTAGGGTAGAGCTGAACGAGGCACTTGAGGCAGCCGAGGATCTTCTCAAGTGCGACGTCAAGAGCTTATATTCAGTTTCATCGCCAGTTGCATATGGTCTGTGGCAGAGTCAGCGGGACGCAATCTGCTTGTGAAGAGAGGCTCCTTACGCTAGGTCCTCTAGCTCCGTCCAGCTGCCATGAGTGGTATAGGTATGACGAGTAGCGGTGAAGTCAAGGCTAGCAAGTTGAGACGATGGGATCTCGTAGGTTGTGTTAATCGAGGACAAATGCGAGGACGATGTGTGCGGAAGCATGTACAAACTAGCCTCGGGTCCATCGCCAGAGCGTGTGTATCGCTGCTCCTGTAAAGACATGGCAATTTGCGAACCTAGAAGAGACCTTGAGCTAGGTAACCATTCGCGCAGTTCGTCCTCTGGGGCAGTTGGGTATTCCTTGGAATACATCATGAGCCGGCTGCGTTGTGCTTCAGTCTCCTTAGGCCAGCCGCTCTCAGCGTGTTTACCGCCGGTCTATTGGTAAAGCAAGCGCATGTGATAGCGCCAATCGATGCAATAAAAGAATGATCAATCAAAGTTATACCTTCGATACACTGTATGATGAGCTTAGTATTCATATTGCGAGGGCGCTTGTGATCTCGCGTCGCGCGAAGTTGGGGCTGAAAGCCACAACGTTCACATTCTGCTTTGGGCAAGGCAGTGTTGAGATTGAAGGACGCCGCCTTCCGCGTTTACAATCAAGACATGTGAATCACAGCAGAGTAACCTATCATGTCAGTAGCACAAGCGTAAAGCATTCAATGGTGTCCAGAGCAATTTCCGTTGGCAGTAAATGATAGGACAAAGATTCAGTAGATTGAGGATTGAAACTTTTGGGGGCAGTGCCAGCTCAAAGTTCCCGCCCCAACGCTGTACGACGTTGCAGCTGATGGGCCAAAACAGCCAAAGCTCAACTGCACCCATCATCTGTTCCAGGGACACTGTCGTGCTTGTGTTTCCTATTGGAGTCTTGCATAATAATTCCCGCGGTGCATCAAATTCACCCTGCCATTCGAGCGCACGAATGTGGTCACCCGTCAGCAGACTGTGTCGCTATCACAGTGCTAGATCGTTTAAGTCTTGAGTTTTTCAATGACCAAATTACGGAAGACCTGTTAAAGCACAAGTGAGAGGATGAGTTGAGACTTGATTTTTGTTAACGTACTATATCAGTCGCATTAGAGGGCTGTAGGTCAGAACATCTTGTATGCGCACATGCGTGTTAAAAAGCACTTTCAGCAGCACCGCCCTCATTCTCTAAAAGCTCTGAGTCGGATTGTGATGGAATGTGTTTCGACTTTGCACTATGCAGCAGACTACCTAGGTAGTCTCATTGCTCACGTGACCAACCAATCTTTCGGGCCTTGGAAGTTCAATCGCGTCCGTCTTCGGTGTCGAGATTAGATTAAGGGCCTGTCTGGTACACCAGTTTTGCCAGCTGTTTCGTCCTAATTAGGCAGCGTTTTAAAAACAGAGATAAGATAGAGCTTATGTCTAGTAAAATAGAGGTTTTGCTAGTAGATCTAAAGATACTATTTTATTAGTGCTGCTACTAAGGATTGCATCTTAGTTTAGTACTTATTATACTTATAATCTACCTCTTTAAGCTAAATAGAGTCTCTATTTTCTAGCAGCTATTCTAAAGTATAGTTATAGTTCTAGTCTCTCTATTTTAGCTATATAATCTTATAATCTTTCTAGCAAAATATAAAGCTAGAGAAGCTAGTTACGCTTGCAGTAAGTAGCTTAATTACTAGTATTATAGTAATAGTAGCTGCAGCTAACGCAGTAACTGCCTTAGCTTTATCTCTGCTATCTAGTATATAAAAATATAAGAAAGATAGTAATTATAGAGCGCGCTAGCTTTCTAAGTACTTAACTAATAAGTACTAGCTTCTTACTAAAAGTTAACTCTATAAGCTAGCGTTTAAGGCGCTTACTTAATATTTAAGTAATTATAGTATTTATAGTAAGTAAGCATTAGTAGAGAAAAAATTACTTATATTTTTATATATATATAGTAATAAAGCTTTATAGAGAAATGCTTATTATTATTATAGGCGAGCGCTCTATACTATATCTAAGTAAGTAAGAAAAAGTATCTATATATTAGAGCATTTTACTTACCTTTTAAAGTTACTTTTATAAGATTCTAAGTACTCTTATAAGCCTATACGCTAAGGTAGTAACATCTGCTTTAGATAAGATCTTAGCTATAATTTATAATAACTCTAAATACTAGCCTGCCTTTAAGCACTGCATTAGCGTACTAGATAGCTCTTATTTTCTACTATATATACTAGCAAGTTAGTAGAAGTGCTTCTATAATTAGTATAGCAATTTCTCTTAGAACGTGCTTACTGCTATTAGGCTAGCAAATAGGTATAGATAACTTATATATAGGTATAAGTTAGAGTATAGTTAAGTATAAGTTAACTTAGGTTAAAGTTAGCGCTAAGACTATATAAGTTAAAGTTAAGTATTATATAATAAAGTTAAGTCTAGGTTAAGTTATTCTACTATAAAGTTAAGTTATAGTTAAGTTTTAGAGTACCTAATAAGTTATAAGTAAACTAAGCTTATTTTAGAAGATATATATATTATTTATTCTATATAATTATTATATTAATTCTAGAAGATATATATATTATTTATCTTATATAATTATTATATTATATTTTTAGTTAAAGTAGTAAATATTATAATTAATATAAGAAATATTGTCGCAGTATTAATACACGAGAATAGTAAAGTACTAATCTACGTAACTAAGCTAACTAAGCTTAGAAAGTAGACTAACGTTTCTCTATAATCTATTTGTATATTTAAGCTAGCTCTTCTAATATATTAGAAGAGCAGTAATTAATATAATCTTTTCTCTTAAGTTTGCTTAGCTATAATAGTTATAAGCCTAGCGCTATAGAATTATAGAGTTAATTCTCTACTATGCATCTTGTATTTGCTAAGTACTTAAATTAATTATTCTACTACTCTTATTCTTCTTAAACCTCTTAAATTATCCTAATAACATTAGTCTAAATAGACTAAATAGACTAGATAAAACTTCTTTCTATAGTTACTCTTTAAGCTTATAAAGACTAGCTAGCATAGTATATTTAGCTTAAAGTTTACGCTATTAGAAAGCAAGTATAGGACTATATTAATCTAGATAGCCTATTGCAACCTAATCTTCTTAATAACGCTTCTCTATACTTAGAATTATCTACTAAGCTAGTTAAGCTAAAGAATTCTTCTATAGAAGCTACTAATAAAGCGAAAGCTAATTATAAAAAGTCTTTATAAGAATATATTAAAGATATTAAAGCTTATAAAGTTTTATTAGCTAACTATAATAAGAGAGTCTAATAATAGAAAGTTCTTACTACTAAATAGTCTTAAAAAGCTGCTATACTTATAAACCTCTAAGACTAAATTATAAAAATAGTCTTACTAGACTTTCTTAAGCTAGTATAGATTAAGCTTTTCTAAATAGATAACTTAAGCCTTTAATTATAACTTAAACTACTTAAAGATTAGCTAGCTCTAAGTAAGGCTATAACTTAGAATTAAATTAGATAGAAGTACTAAGCTTACCTAGATAAAGCTAAGCATAGCAGAATTAGGCTAGAGAAGTAGTTTAATAAATAGTAAACTCTCTATACCTAAGCTTAGACGTATAACGTCTTAGAGGTTAAAGAGACTATTGCTCTTACTAACTTTCTTAAGGTAATTATAGCGAAATACGCTCTAGAATAAGCTTAACAGAAATAAGCAGAAGTTATAGAAAGAGCATCTCTAAGAAAAGATAATATAATATTAGAGTAATATTGCTATAGTATTTAACGCTATGCTAAGTAAGTAATCTAGAAATGCTAGAAAAAAAAAGAGACTATTAATCTTTATAGTACTAACTCTAAATAAGCAAACTGCTTAAAATAGCTTAACTAGAAAAACTAAAAAAAGCTTAAAAGTATACTTATGTATTAGGTCTTACTTGCAAAAGCTCTAATTAGATAAGTTTTATTATTAGAAACTAATTACCTATCTTAAGCTTTAAATAGTAGTAATAGAATTAGCCTCTAGTAATCTAATTAAGCTTAATAATATAAATAAGAAAAAGATCTTAGAATAGTATAATAAGCCTAAATAGTAAGATCTTTGCAAATAGATTAAAAAGTTAGGTTAGTCTACTACTCTAAGAAAGAAAAGATTAGATAAAGATTACTCTATTACTATTTAAGTAAGCTTAATTAATCTAACTCTCTTTATAAAAGAGTTACTAGAGGTCTATAGTACTACTTTTAATTAGCATCTACTATACTAATCTATAATTCTTAATAGTAAAGCATGCATCTACTTAGTAAATAATTAGAGCCTAATTAAGAAAGAAATATTTATTAAAGCTATAAATAGAGAGTATATTAAAGCAGGAACCTAATATTTACTTATTAATAGTGTTAGTACTTAGATTATAAGAAACCTAATAATTAGACTAAATAAGCTATATATAGTAGACTTTATACTTACTAACGTAAAGGTTATTAAAGGTTTCTACCTTAATATTATCTTAGAAGCAAGACTTTAAGATTAGAGAAATATCTAGTATACTAGTTAGGATTAAACTCTCTAATATAGTAACTTATCTAAGAATAAGTTACTCTATATGCTTATTAGAAAGTATAACCTTAACTTCTTAAAATTAATTAAGTCTTCTTACTCTTTAGTCTTTACTATTATAAAAGCTATACTAAGATTATATTATCTATAAAATAGAAGTAGTAATAAGTAAATATAGCACTAATAATTAAGTTATCTTAGATAGAAGGCACTATAAGCTCTAACTAAATATATATAAAATATTAAGATTACTAGTATTAGAAGAATTAAATATAAACATTATGCAATAGCATACGCCTTATAGGTAATCTTAAGAAGACTAAAAGAAAGATTATCTTAACTCTTCTATTAGATCTTATAGAACTTATTTAATATGCATTTAGAATAATTAGAAGAGTAATAATTATTACTAATAAAGAATAATTATTCTAGAAAGATTAAGAATAATAATCTTCTATTAAAGTTACTGCTTAAGATTATAAAAGTTATTAAAAGATACTACTAGAGAGTAAGAATAAAATATAACCTTTTAATTATAGAGATATACTAAGATAGTAATTAGGCAACATAACTATAGAGAGAATAATTAAGATTTAAAGAATAAGTAGATTAAAATAGGATTACTATTAAAGCTACTCTATCTTATACTTATAAGCTAAATAGCTTAGCTAAGCGTATAGAATAGAAAATAATTATAAAGATAATAAAAATGCGTATAAGCGCAAATCTGCTTAATAAGCTTTAGCTAAAGATACTAGATATAGCTGCTTAGCTTTATAGAATAAGCTTAA